GCTGGGCTGCGTCTCAGAGTTCCAGGGGGACCAAGGCGAGAGCTGAGCGATGAGCCCCACCGATTACTCCACATCCCTTCCCGGGGCCTGGACAGCTCCCCATGAGAGAGAGGCTGGAGCAGCCTGGGGTAACCCAGGAGGGTCGTGGTGTTGCTGGGCCAGCTCTGTGTGGCCCAGGCTGTAAGCTTGAGGCGTGGGGCTGTGGATGCACAGTTTGAGGTAGAGGGGACCCGGCGTCACAGCGATTGACAAGGGGTCCCTATCAGGAGGCAGCTTGGGCTACAGGCTCCCAGTCTACCCTGGAGGCACGACAGAGGCAGTGGGGTGAAGAAGGGGTCCCTGGAGAGCAGAGGAAAGAGATAAGCAGAGCCTAGGCAGGCGTGCCTGGGGGCAGTCAGAGAATCGAGGCAGCTTTTATACCTCATGCGTCGGGTATGTACAGGTTTACGAGGGTAACTGTGCACGTATTTTCTCATTGAGCCCTCAATAGTAAGTTCCCCTTACAGGAGAACTACTATGAACGCGTTTATAGATGAGGAAATTGAAGCTCAGAGAGGCCAAGCAACTTGTGTAAGATCCCATAGTGGCAGAGGTAGGACTCGAACCCAGGTTCCTCTGCCGTGCAAGACGGCAGGAGCTAGTGACTGATGGAGAATGCCAAGAATGATGTTCCAGGTCCCCCCTTGGCTACTGGGAGTCTATATACCTCCAGTCTGAGCCACCTCCCTGCTCCCTTCCCAGGGAAGGATCCTGCTGTCAGTCACGGAGCTGGTAAGTCGTAACTCACATCATGCTGAAGTCTGCGGAATCCGCACAAGTGACCCCGTAAAAGACGGGCAATTTACCGGGTTTAATTTGATGGCCATATAAACCATCAAACACACAACAAAGGAATAAAAAGGCCACCTGGCACCCAGGCAATTAAAGGCTCCTCCAGCAAGGCATGCCTCTTCCTCCCCACCCCCCAGGCCCTGCCCTGCTTTGCAGCCTTGGGGAAGGGGCGGCGAGGGGAAGCTTGAGCCAAGATGGATGAGGCCCGCAGACAGGGGAAGGGAAAGGCCTTGGGTTCCTGCCTCCCAAATGCTTCTTGGTTATCCATCAGGCATCTCTGAAAGGTGCAATTTAGACTCTATTATGATGCCAGGGCCTCTGGAAGCTGAGGGCTGTGGCCATGAGCTGAGCAGGCACCGGAAACTGATGTCTGTGCCAGAGAATGTGGTGGCTGGCCTTGGCTTTGGCCTTAACAAGTCCGCCCCTTGCTCAGGGCACTGCCCCAAAATGGCCAAGCCCAGGAGCCACCCACATCCCCTGTGCCAGGACTCGGCAGCTGACAGATCAGAGAAGGTGTGTATCCTCCGGCCAGATGCTGGGCCCCGGGACAGAAGGATTCAGACGTGACCTCTGAGACCAAGGCAAGGTGGCCTTTGAGTAGGCCTGAGCCTTCCTGTCCCCAGCACCTGCTCTAGCCCTGCCTCTTTGCTCCTAAGCATCTTGAGACAGGATACCCAGGCTCCATAACCTTCGTGTGTATGTGACAGGCTGGCATAGGTACAAACGCGCATCTGTGACGGGCGATGGGTGAGACCTGGCTGGTTGGTACACCCCCGCCCCCCGCACCACCCCCCCCCCGGTGCCTGGGTTTATCCCTGTCCTCTGAAGGCCAGCACGTCCAGGTCTATGCAGCAGCTCTGTTTCGAGCCTGTCCTCTTGTATAGTTTGGGCCGGTGCCCTTCTCAATCCTGGATGTAATGAGAGGTGAGGGAATCTGGTCGGACAAGGGCCAGGCAGTGTGGGATGCCCACGCTCCAGCTGGATTTTACAGGATGACTCCCGCTGACGCTGAGGGCAGGAGGGCTGGGCAGCACGGTGCAGGGCTCTGGAGGGGGACAAGAGAGGGGAGTGGGCCAGGGCAGCCGAGCCAGGGACACAAAGACGATCGAGAAATCCCCCAAGTGCAAGCTCGAGTGCAGGAAGCAGAGACCGACTCTAAGTCCCAAGGGGCGGGGCTGGGCGTGGGCTCAGGACCCATAGCCTGGGCTGGGAAACGTGCTTCAAGGAAACAGGCAGGAATAAGCAGGCAAGTGTCCTCAGCCCCTGGGGCCAGCAGGTGCTTGTAGAAGGGGGCTTACGCTGACTTCAGGAGCCCAGAGTGTTGGACAGGGTCTCATCATTCCCCCGCTTTGTCCGGGCTTTCCACGGGGTCCCTCTGGCCCCACGCACAGACCCCATGCACCCTTCCCCCTTGCCCTCACTTGCTTCTAGCCAGCTGCCCTCTGCTGGCCCTTGACCTGCCTCGGGTCCACCTCATGGACGAAACTTCCTGCGGCTAACAGGGCCCGAGGAGGCTTAGTGCGCTAACCATGGACAAAGCCTGAGCTTGCTCCCGAGGGCCTCGGAGCTGCCGAGATGATCTGCCCAAAGGCTCCTATAAATGCAGATGAGGGGCACGAGTGTGTAGGGGTGAGTGGAGGCATTCCTGCCTTGCTCGGCACCTCGGTGATCACCGATGCCAAGCCACACCAGGCCTACACAGCCCACGGTCCCTGCCCTTGAGCACCTGAAATTTAGTAGGGGACGTTAAAGCACTAACCCCCCAACGGTACAACCTGCGGCCCACAGAGATGGGCACGAGATGAAGCACCACGAACCCAGCGGCCCGGGTTCTGGCCTGGGCGCCCCCTTACCACTTCTCAAGTGGTCTTGGGTGTGCTAACATCTGTGGGCTTGAGTCTTCTCTTCTGTCCAGTGGGACTCAGAAGAGCATTGACCTCAGGTTTGCTGGGAAGGTTAAGTGACTTAAACATTCATAAAGCTCTAGGAGAGGTCTACACTATACTGGGAGCCACCGTCCCGCCAGAATGGAATCCCAAGCGGCTGGAACACGGGCTGGCCCGTGGTGGGGGCTCCCTAAAGATCTGCTGGATGGCTGGATGGACGAGTGGGTGGATGGGTGGACACATGGATGGAACAGAGGGAGGCTCTGTCTGCTAGGAAGGCCTAGCAGGGGAGGGGACATTTGAGCATGGTCCTGAAGGGTGAAGATGGCTTTGCTAGACGGATCAGAGCGGTCGTCCCGGGCATTGAGAGGGACGGACAAGGGAGAGGTTTGATGTGGCTGAGAAATGGAGATGTTCAGTCCCCGGCGCATGAGAGAGGTTCCCCACTGACTCATTCGGCGAGCAGGGTCCTCACTCTGCTCCGGACACCAGGCTGGGCCGGCTTCGGGCTGGGGCCGCAGCTCACAGTCCGAGAGGCAGTTGATCGGGTCCCGCCGTGGAAAAGCCTTCGTGCACCTAGAGGCACGCGGCAGACCTTTGCCGGCTGCACGAAGACACCTTCCCGGCTGAGGGTGAAGGATGATTTCTCCTTAATTGATTTTTTACTATGAACAGTAAAATAATATGAGAGAAATCTATGCGGCAATTTCTCCATTTGTGAAAACCGAAATTACACCTTGCAGCCGGTTGCTTCAGCATGGACCCCTCCCTCTTTTTATTTGTGTCATTTTTTTAAATGCAAGAAAACAGATACATACTTACATACATATATATATACACACACACATATATATATACATATAGAACAGGTATATATATTATATATATATTTATGGAACAGGTATATATATATTTATGGAACAGGTATATATATATTTATGGAATAGGTATATATATATATACGTATATATGTATACATGTATACATACATACAAATGAAAGTTGCATGATTTGGGAAGGGTGTGGAATAATTTCCCGCACAACACAGAATGCAGAGCTAGGGAGGGCACGTCTGATAAAGGAGTTTTCTGTAAATACACAAGAAAGTGATTCCGTTGACACCTCATTGTTCTGTCTATAAAATGCATGAGTGACAAACAGGACATGTTGTTTTAACACCAGACAATGAAGCTCCTTGCTCTCCACTGCTCACCAGTGGCTAATGCTGGCAGCTTCTTTTTTTGTAGGTTCTACTGACACCCCCCCCCCCCC